ACTGTTGGCGCAAGCTACATTAAAGTGATTGTTACGTTTTGAATATGGACATTTTTCTTACAAAAACGCATTGATTCGCTACAGGAGGCCTTTGTTCACCCCCCGGAGCTGTGTGAGACACTTTTTTTTATGGATGGGCTCTTTTTATTTCACTTCTTTTGGACTGATGCATGCAACACCCGCTGAGTGGCATTAAACAGCTTGAAAGATCAAAGACCATTTTTAATATAACTCCGACTGGATTCGTCTGAAAGAAGAAAGTCATATACACCTAGGATGACTTGAGGGTGAGTAATTTATGGGCTAATTTTCATTTTTGGGTGAACTAACCCTTTAATAATGATTAGTAATGCAGCACACAATTAATGTTGGCATGAAATGGAAGTTGTGATCTTTTTTCCCTGTTGTGACATATAAGTGAAATGTATTCTTGAACAAGAAAATATGTTTTTGAAGATTACAAGGGCGGGCGCATCAATTTTTTTTAAAACTAATGACATGCATGAATAAATCATTCAAATGTTAGTACATAGCAGCATTACCTGGCAATTTCCTCATAAACAATTACCTTCATGCCCTCCTCAATGTCATTTTCAAACACCTTCTTCGGTTTCTTTTTCTTCTTTTTCTGGTTAAAGAAGTTCAGATCATCTAAGTCATCCGAAGTCTCTGTGAAGATAGATGGGGATCAAACAGTGTCAAAAACAGCCAGAAGTACAATCCTAAAACAGCACTGTACACAAACTCCACACGTGCAATGACATTTTCAAGGTTGTGGTTTAAATACAATTGTTGAGAATCATTTGACTAAACCCAAGGCCCAGAGGTAAAAGAGAAGAGCAAAACACTTCACTGATGCTCATACTTGCATCCTCTCACCCTTTTTCTTGACTTCATCATCTTCAGGATCCATTTCTCGCTCCTCTGCTGCTTCAGGCTCAGCTTCGTTCTGTTCAGTCTGCTGAGCCTCCTCTCCATCTCCATCCTCGTCGAGCATGAAGGGCTTCTTCTTCTTCTTCTTCTTCTTTGTTGTGGTGGGGTCGAATAAAATCTGAGGACACATAACGCACCAGGTTCATTTTGCTCAAACATGCCTCACTGTGCTGAAGGAAATAATACTGAGCGCAACTCTTTTTACTACGTTACTCAAGCAACGCTGAGTGTTATTTATTAGTTTTTTCATTCTATACAAGCAGAAATAAGTCATGTAAAACACACAGTTGTGAATGCAGCCTACAGCACGCTATAGGCTACACTGAAACTGCTCTCACAATCTAAGCCAAAAGTCACAACATGACCGAGTGTATTCACTCAACTGTGAATAATAACAAAACATACAAATAGACCACCACAATACCTCGTCTTCTGACATGATGGCTGAATCAAATATCGCTGTTTCTCGTCCTGTTCAATATCGTCGACACGGTTCACACTACTGTTCTCATCCAGAGTCTTGCATCAGCTCAGCGCGCAAGAATGATTACATCTTAATGACGACATCATCACGCGACTTGCCATGACAGTGGAGCCGCTGTGTTTAAAAAAATCGATTACGAGATTTATGTTCCGATTAGATTTATAGTAATAATTATTAGTTGTTTTGCTTCTTCCAGACATGCATGTAGAACACCACGATTCCAATCACGAATTGTTAATCAAATGAGCAAGATTTTTTTTTAGAAGCAAACAGCCATGTGCTTTATTGAAAATCATTAATCCACCCAAACCCCTTACCAACATGAATGTAAATTAAAGAACAAAAGGGACTTGGCAACGAATACACAGGCAAGAAGAAAAGAGTGAAACGCACAGCTAGATGCAGTACAAACACCATGCCTCACTCTATTCATAAACCAGTCAGCCATGAGGCATTTCAGTCATTTAAAGACATGCCACTCAAGTTGCATCAGCATGCCATTCATTAAGGCACATAACACAGCATTATATGCTTTTGAGTGCAATAACGGGACAGAAGTTATTGTTTTATATAATTTTAACAAGAACTAAGTTGGATACAGCAGAAAGTCTAACAACACCAGAGAAAAGGAATCCAAAAGTTTAATGATCTCTCAAATAAAAGACATCTGAATTTTTGTTTTGAACATACAAATGTACACATATGCCACATAGGCCTCAACCTGAATAGATACAGCATTTTTGCATCTCAAAAAAGTATATGCTCCCATACGAGGGAAAAAAAGTGATATAGTTTATTTTCTATAATTACAACCATCTACTGTCAGATAAACCCTCAGCACATCAATGAATCAGGCCTGAAAAGAGCACAATAAGAAAGATCTGTTATTAATTAGTTCATTTTCTGCAACTATTTGGATGCACCGAATATTATATATATATATATATATATTTATTATATATATATACACACACACATATATATATATATATATATATATATATACACACAGTGGAGCAAACATCATTTATTTCAATTCGTTATTTGTTACCAAACCATTATGTCACTGTCAACAAACTAAAAACGTTTATGCCTTTATGGAAGTGCTTGAATAACATTAATCTAACAGAACACATTGAGATAAAAGATCGACGCAAACAACAGTACCAAATATATTTAATATATATCAGATGAGATGAGAGCGTGTTGACCATATATATGAAAATTGTGTATTGGCAAACATGCTAATCTCCATGACAAAACAAAACAACCAGTTTCTGAATAGTAGAGAGGTAAAAAAAAAAAACACTTCCATCAAAAGAGGGAAAATTAGAAACACCAATGCATTACCTAAATAACCATAGCCAAACATTTAAGGGTCACTTTATATATTATGTCATCAGATTTTATTGTCCGATTAACCTGCTTCATATCCATTTTCGTTTGTAACTCTTGTTTTTGCCACACTGCAAGAGCAATGGTAAAATTTGTTTTGTAGTGTTAACCCTCTGAAGGTTTTCAGGTTTGCTTGCACAGGCCAACCACGACGAGCAACGAGAGTCTGTCAGATTGGGTACATTCACATGGCCCATGCCTTGAGTTCTTCCATGTCATCCTCATCCTCCTCTTCTCTCTTTTTTTGAGCTGGAGAAACACAACGACAAATAGTTATAAAGGTTTCCACAGGGGAAAATTTCTATTAGTGTTAAAGACCATTAAAGTGATAATCCATTTTTCTTTAACCTACCAAAGTCCAATTTTACATTATTATCTCATATGTAAACTCTTGAAAGTACCGGTAGTTTGTGAGATAAAAAAAAACAAACACTATGTTGGTATTATGTGAACAGCATTAAACGAACCAGCAGGTTTCTTGGGTAATGGATTTGAAGGCACACTGGGCAGAGAGACATCCTCGGTGCCACCGATTTCCAGCAGGTTCTTGTCCAGCTCCTCCTGTTCCAACTCCTCCAATTCAGCCAAGAGCTCATCCTAGAAAGAGCAAGAATCATATTGTTCAGTCAACATTTGTAAAAACTGCATTAGAAGAGAATGTTGCAGCAAACAGCAATGTGGGATACAGTAAGATGCATTTCACGCGCTCCAAAAATATAAGTCCAGTTGGGAAAATACTTCTATTGGCGCTTTTCCACTGCATGGTACGGCTCGGTACGGTTCACTTTTGGGGGGTTTTCCACTGGGTACAGTACCTGGTACTTTTTTTAGTACCACTTCGGTTGGGGTTCCAAGCGAACCGTACCGTTACCAAAACGTGACGTGTAAACTCTGCTGATCACGGATTGGCCGGAGAGAATCGTCACTACCTGCGTCACTGAACTTGAGACACAAACACAAAAGAACCGCTAGATTTAAATCAGCACAGCCAGCGAAGCATCGAACGCAACTGTTTTGAACGAGCGCACCTTTTTTAACAACCAAAAAGTGGCTGTTCCCCCTGTTGAGGAAGAACAGACGTTCCTCTCGTTGATAGCAGAGAAGCGGCTCCAGCGAGAGCTTGATGGGGCGACGCGGAATGAAAACGTTTTT